CAGACTTCCCCTATTTTTATTGAATTCCTACCATCAGAAAATGTTGAGGCACCCCTGAAGAAGCCAGAAGGCACCCCAGTGTGCCATGGCTCCTGGGTTGAGAAAGGCTGCCATATAATATGGGGCTGATTAGTGCTTCTGCGTTTGATGTTCATTGTTAATGGCAGCCCACTGCATTAGCATCTTTGCAAACACACTGTGGCTGATTTGAACGGAAGACTTTGATGCAAAGGGAGGAACCACACTTTTTTTGTGTTTCTGAATGGTATTCTAAATGTGTCCACCAAAGCATTGTGTGTTGTAGCACCTCAAAGTGAATGGTGCAGAAGTACTCTGAGGGGAATTTATCAAAACTGGAGCAGACACAATCTGGAGCAGTTGCCTAGGCAACCAATCAGCTTCTATCTTCAGTTAAGATTTGAAAATGAAAGAGAGAAGCTGATTGGTTGCCATGCACAGCTGCTCCAGTTTTGATAAATTTCCCTTTTCTGTGTTTTGGTGGGGTGTGTTTTTTTAATAGTGCATGCCCTTCATTCATAGATCAGAGCTATGAAACACACAGTGACCAGCTTTACAACATCCATTGTGTACACTTCTCTCCACAGCTGCTTCCTTGGCCTGCTCCAACGTTCACAAATCAAGTGAGAAGTCACTATGTAGACTGGCGGATGTGGAGGGATGTGAAGAGGAGGAAGATGGCCTATGAATATGCCGATGAAAGACTAAGGATCAATGCTCTGAGGAAAAACACAATCTTGCCTAAAGAGCTTCAGGTACTTTCCAGTTCATAGATTTTCAGAAAAAAAAAAAAAATCACCGAATTTTCTGTGACAGAAAAGAATGAGAAACAACATTTAATTCCCCCTTCCATGCTGGACAGTGGGTGCGCCGCTGTCAGAATACCCATACAGGGACTGCATTTGATTGGCTGCAGTCACTGTATAGTTAGGAATTGTAGTTGGCAACAATTCTCATTATCTGGGGGGAGGGAGATTTTAATGCAACCAATCGATTAGTTAAAAAAATAATCTAGCAACTAATCGATTATGAAAATAATAATTAGCTGCAACCCTAACCCTATCCAAAAGCATAAAGAAAAGAGAGAGTTGGCAGTATACATGCTTTTAGTATCCAGTCTCCGTGTATCAGATGTGGTTACCTGTGGGGTTTTTCTTTTTGCAGGACATAGCAGATAAAGAGATTGCGGCACTGCCCAAGGATAGTTGTCCAGTGAGAATTCGGAATCGCTGCGTTCTCACCTCCCGTCCCCGCGGTGTGAAGAGGCGTTGGCGTCTCAGTAGAATAGTATTCCGACACTTTGCAGACCACAATATGATTTCTGGTGTCCAGAGGGCCATGTGGTAACACCTATGTCACGGATTTTACAGCAGTTATATCTCCTGTGTATTTGGACATTCTTGTGGCATGGTGTGCCGTACGGGATTTGTTATTGATTTTTTTTTCTGATCACTTCATATCCTGTTAATAAAATACTGTACTTTATACATGCTGCTTGTGTCAGTTGAAATGTTTGCTTCCATCTTTAGTTATGGGATCATGATAATAACAAGAAAACATTTGAATGTGGCTTTTGTCATTTACTATCCTGTTTCCTTACATTTGGACACTGTAAAGTACAACTGTTTGTGAAGTTGTCCTTTAGAGTGCATGTAATCCCTAACAAAGAACTTATTTTCTGCCTTATGTGCCGTTACATTTACCATTGAAAGCATTTTGTTATCTGTGCAAAATAATACTCGACAATCATCAAAAAGTCTTATGAGCGAATAACTTCCTGTGCTGCACTCTAATGCGTTGCAATGTTCCTAACTGTCTCCATTGACTAGTAAACACTTACCAAGGTTACAGTGACTAAAAGAGGGGGTGGTGTTCTGTAGCGCCAATCAAGGGTGACAACTGTGATCTTCCATACATAAAGTACAGTGAGTAAGCATTGTCACTCTAGGACAGGTGGTGGGTTAGTGACCAGAATCATGGCTGCTGGAGGCCACCATGAGTACAGCTCATTTGTTGGAATGAATAGGGCAACCGTGTGCATACGTACGCAGTAGGTAAAGAACCTGGTTGTGAATTTTTTTTTTTTTTTTTTTCAAAAGCTGTGTGGCATCGGTATATCTGTAAAAAAATAAGTGAAGGCAACTGTGACTCTCTGTATTTTTCTTGAAGACGTTTCACTGGTCATCCAACCAATTCTGAATTGAGAAAGCTGGTCAGGTGACCAGTGAAACGTCTTCAAGAAAAATACAGCAAGTCCAGTTGCCTTGACTTATTTGTTACAGATCTACCATGACCTGGATGAATGAGAACCTTCAGACTGTGTGGCATCAGGGAAGATCAGCCCATGAGGAAGAAAGTAAGTACTTTACCAGGGGGGCTGTGTTCAGGATGTTGTCATAATAAAGTTAAACTGTTAGTGGGCATTAAATAGAACCACGATGAGCATGGGGTGGCAGCCATTGCTGGCTTAAACAAAATTACAAATCTTTTAGGTGATCATTTTGCGGTTTACCTAAAATTCAACCTTGTTAGAGCTAAGGTGCCCCGTCCCCTCCCCCAGGTACATAAGCAAACTATTCTCTCATCAGAAGTTATTTTTATCATGTTCAAGAATTAGAATACAAAGTTAACATTCAAGTATTTGGCAGAGTTTAATAAACAAAACAAAAACACATTTTATAGACATTTACAAATACATCAAAATAAATTCCGGACATAACCTCTGAAGACTGTGAGCCCTAAATGAGGATCTAAAATGGGAGAAACAGACAAATCAATGTTCTAACCAAACTGCTAGGAGTGCTTTTGTTGCATCTGACAATCCAATGAGAATGGAATTTCAAAACAGCATTGTTACATGCGGGGAAGGAATTAGAGTGTAAACTATGGACCCTGTAGAGATCAACTCTACTTGTGTTAAAGCAAGGCCTATCCCTGGGTTGGGAACATTTTTTAAGGCGCAAGGGACAAGAAGATTCTCTTCAGAAATCCATGTCACCCTTCATCTGTTTATCCCGAGATTCCACCCAGGCTTTATTTAGGGTCCTCTTCATCTCATCATCTCCATCATCATATATTTTCTTTAAAACGTTCATAAGACCGGCACTGGGGTCTTCATCTGTGTCCATTGGGAGTTTGCTATGAGGGGGGAACAAAATAGGTAATTGAGTGGTCAAGTAGAAAGGATATTATGTTGTCTTTACTCCATAAGCCAGCGCTGGGTCTCCCAAATAACAAGAGCATCAAAGGTAAAAGAACGATATGACCTATAGCAATAACTGTCCATCTTCATCCTCTAGCCCAGTGGTTCTCAACTGGTGGGACATGACCCAAAAGTAGTTCGCAATGTGCCTTCCACTGCGCTAGGTGAGAGGCTCCTCCGCCTCCCTCTAGTGCAGCACTGTGAGTTTTCGAGCCAAGCAGCCATTTCAAATATGATGCCTGGCGCAGAGTGTCAGCTTGAGGTGGGGTGGGCTAGGGGTATGGCAGTAAGGGAGCGTCATCCATACGTGCATTGCTTACAGCACACTTGCGTACCCTGTAGAGGTGCCTGGACCGGAGTTATGTCACATTCTCTACAGGGCATTCAAGGGAGCTGTACAAGCAATGCACATATGGATGGAGCTCCATCACAGCACAGCAGCCCACACTGGACCCCAGGCTGAGGATCCAGTCCAGTTCTTGAAAGGTAGGGAGACTTGGATCTTAAAAAGAAGAAAATGAAAACATTTTTTGGAGTGTGTGAGAATGTGTCTGTCAGTGTTTTTGAGGGCCGTTCACACTAGTACAAGTAAAAGATGGACACCGGCTCTCCAAAGCAAATCCAGCACGTCTATTCACGTACTTGTTGCAAATGCAAAACGCAAGATACGTTCACACTAGTACAGTGCATTCATATCACACAGTCCCTGTACCACACAGTCGCACCTACCATGCAGGAGGTGCGTCGCCATCCATTTGAATGGCACCCCAAATGCACCACAACACACTGGAATGCAGTGCGCCTTAAGTACCAAAGACAAATGTGGGTCCAGAGGTTACAGGGGTTGAGGAACCACTAGTCTAGCCCAAATAAACAGAATTTCACCCAAAAATCATAGTTTAAGAAATAGCCATACTTCTAGTGAAAACACAGCCCTGCAAAGTAGCCATAATATTTCTTCCAGCCACATATTTCCCATGCTGAGCTTGTATATTTAGTCCCAGTATACGGATAACATTTGGTAGGTAATAATTGCGCCAATCACTTTCTTGCTCTTCGACAATGTGGTCACCTGAGAGGATGAATCTCCCCTATTGGGGACTCCGTATAAAAACTTGACAGTCTAAGTCTTCCCTACTCTATTCAAAACATTAATAAGTAAACTATCGATGAAAACTTTGTCTTTTTATTTTATTATTCAAATACAGCAAAGCTCCTGCCTCAGATACTCTACGTGTCAACTTCTCTGTGGACATAAGAGATCATTTATGTTCTGATTACTGACATTAAACCCTCAGATTTTTTAACATAAACCAATACTGTAATGTGCGCCTTACTGTAATCCATGGTTGTTTCCCTTCTCTTTGCTGCTCTTCCTTTTAAATCCTCATGTCTTCTCATGCTTGGGGAGAACTTCCCTTTGCAGCTCAGGGCCTCTTCCTGTAGTGCTGGCTCAGGTTACAAACCTATACACAGACGCCATTTATCCATTCCAGAGACAAGGCAGTCTGCTGCAAAACAGAAGTTCTGCCCAGCATGAGAAAAGATACATATTTAAAAGGAAGAGCAGCAAAGAGAAGGGAAACAACCATGGATTACAGTAAGGCGCACATTACAGTATTGTTTTATGTTAAAAAATCTGAGGGTTTAATATCACTTTAAGTCACGTTTAACAAGCTCACAATTCACATTCCCCAAAGTTACCCTCATTTACGCTGGAATACTCACTCTTTCTTCTCCTTTGTCTGTTTCTCAACTTGTGTCAAATATTCCCACTTGCTTTCAGATTTTTTCCTCAACATTATGAGCACAGTGTCTGTCTTCACCTGCCGAAGGAAAAAGTATATTTGAGGAAATTCCTAGCTAGATGGCAAAATGTATATTAACTTCTTGCAAGATGACAAAATCAAGCAGAGCTCTGATGATGCAGGACGGGGGTTCTGCTTACTGACATTAAACCCTCAGATTTTTTAACATAAACCAATACTGTAATGTGCGCCTTACTGTAATCCATGGTTGTTTCCCTTCTCTTTGCTGCTCTTCCTTTTAAATCCTCATGTCTTCTCATGCTTGGGGAGAACTTCCCTTTGCAGCTCAGGGCCTCTTCCTGTAGTGCTGGCTCAGGTTACAAACCTATACACAGACGCCATTTATCCATTCCAGAGACAAGGCAGTCTGCTGCAAAACAGAAGTTCTGCCCAGCATGAGAAAAGATACATATTTAAAAGGAAGAGCAGCAAAGAGAAGGGAAACAACCATGGATTACAGTAAGGCGCACATTACAGTATTGTTTTATGTTAAAAAATCTGAGGGTTTAATATCACTTTAAGTCACGTTTAACAAGCTCACAATTCACATTCCCCAAAGTTACCCTCATTTACGCTGGAATACTCACTCTTTCTTCTCCTTTGTCTGTTTCTCAACTTGTGTCAAATATTCCCACTTGCTTTCAGATTTTTTCCTCAACATTATGAGCACAGTGTCTGTCTTCACCTGCCGAAGGAAAAAGTATATTTGAGGAAATTCCTAGCTAGATGGCAAAATGTATATTAACTTCTTGCAAGATGACAAAATCAAGCAGAGCTCTGATGATGCAGGACGGGGGTTCTGCTGTAGAACAGCCACAGAAGATTGATTACTTTTATTTAAAGTGTCAGTAAACCCTTAATAAGAGTGTGCATATACAAGTCCTATTTACTAATACCTGTGTGCCCATTTATGTTATTCTTTATCCTTGTGGATCACCTGGTAATCCTCCCATCACCAATGAGAAGACTAGGTTATTTCCTGTTTTAGTTCATCAAGCCGCCCTCCGCAGTATCCGTGAGCAGGACGCTGTATAGGCATACAGCGCCCTGTAAACCTGAATAGTCTTTCTATGATTATACAGGTAGACAGACCTCCTGTCCCACTCCTAGGTTGAGACTGACAGCAGCTTGTGGCACCACAGGCCAATTAGAGGCTCTGCCCACAGCCCTCAACGCTAGAGAGAGAAGAATGGACACAGCAGTCATGTGACCACTTGTAAAATTGTATTAATTGAGAGCTCTGGACATTTTTATTTAAACAGCATGCTTAGCCAAGGGTTCAGCATTGCCATGGCTTGTGGGACAAACAGCTTTACAGATACTTTGTTCAAAAATGTTAAGTGCATATAGGAATTGTATCTATAGTGATTTCTTTGATCTGAGAGGAGTCCTAATTTCATCTTACAGACATCTTACTATCCCAAGACCCCAACTACTTCCTTCCAAATATTCAAGCTAAATAATGGAAATCTCTTAATTTCCGATATGTTTAAGACACAGTAAAAGCATGCACTACCTAAGGCCATCCTATACTACAGTAGGCCTCCCAGGAAGTGACCATCGTCATTACACCAGCTTTAATTTTAAGTAACAGTGCACACAAAAAGGAAATGTGACTCACTTTTCTGGAACTGTTTTCAGGTGTGATTTGCTTCAGGAGGTTATTTACAGTCATTACATGATTCTTCCCATTTAGATCTTTCACCAATAATTCAAAGGACCTTTGTAAAACAAAAAAAACTGTCAAATACCTAAAAATATCCCCCCACCCATACATCTAGAATAACGACATAAGCCGTTCACATTTGTTCTTTGTATTTCTATATAAAATAAAAGTTTATAATCTGGTAACAATGCAGCACCGTTTATCTGGGATTAACTAGAAATGCCATTCAAATCACATAAATATCTGTGAACTGGGGCACTGGAGGCCGGTGATGACATCAGGTCTCTCCAAATCCCCTTTTCCAGGGAAGAGATTGGTGACATGATAAGAAGATCACCAAAGTTGCCACAGGTCACAGTCTAAAATCACCAAAGGCGGGAAAATGGCAGCTTTGACAGCTTGCGCATACTCTGGGCTTTTTATAATACAGAATCGTGCTTTTATTATTTTGCACTGAAAAATGGCAAGTTTGTTCCTTTTTCAAAGCACAGAAATTCTGCTGCAAGAATGAATTGTACTTGTCTTCAGCAATCACTCATTCTCTTCATGAAGCAACATGACAGAATCTGATCGACTGCATTGACCATTACTTCCTCGACATACTTTGCTACATAAGATGTACAGCAGATATTCATTCATTGCTGACTTAAGGGGGCCATACATTAGACAAGACCATGGCACAATGCAAAAATGTTTTGCACACTTCTTACAATCATACTATGCAGTGTATATGGCGTGAATGGTCAGATTGGGAGCCTAGGAGCAGCACTGCATGGAATCCAGTAGATTGTTAATCTTTTTCATCATTACTGAAGATGAACACATATCACCTAGTTCTTATCTTGGAGAGATCACCAGCATGCACTGTACAGTGAATCACTTATCTCTGAATGACCACTTCCTTTCCTGTATAGTCTATTTTAAGGGCTTGTTCACACAATGTCCAGACCTTAGAACGCAGCAAAATCGCAGTAGAAATGCAGCAAACCGCAATGCACCATGTTGCACCATGTTCCAAAAAATAGTGTGAACCTGGCCCCAGAGAAGATTAAGTTACTCCGTTGGTTTAACCGTGCTGTCGAGGTTGGGTCACCATGATGTCCCCTACATGGATGTTCTTGCACACCGTCTATGCCAGTACATCTCTTCATTGTTTTCTGGTTAATGGACATGAAACAACTTTCTTCTTGCAGAGGGCGGCTTGCATGCTTGGGTATATAAAGGTCATCATCAAGGCTTTACCTTACCTTTCTGTGAACTGGACTTGCACATTATCAGCTGGAATATTCTGAACGTCCTTCAAAGTAATATAGATTTTCACAAACTTGTCAGATTGATCCCAGCCTGTAGAAAAAGAGGCACAGGGCAACGTAATCAGTACTAATACATCATTATGAATTCCTTTTTTTTAGTTAAAGGGTAACTGTAGTTCTAACCTAAAGAGCACCAGGTTATTACCCCATCAGGTCAAAAATTACTTTTAGGTAAATCTATATTAACATTTAAAAAAAAAGTAAATTAAGAGTAGCTCTGTAAAGCAGGCACCATTAAAGCCCAAGTAGAATACACATACACACGTAGGCTTGGTTCTTCTCTTCTCTGGTACTGGGCAGTCCTTGATGATGCAGACAGAGGTGCACTCTGAATCATCGTGAATGAATGGCACCATGGTAATGTCCCTCATGGGATGGTTCCATGGCACCCTGCATTCACAATAGGTTTTCAGCCTTCAGATTGTAATGACTCTCAAGCAGGACATCTTGACTGCAGGGTACAGCTCTGAAGAGGGGCAAGTACTGCAGCCAGAGCTATTTTAAGCTGGGGAGCAATTTTCTTACACAACGTCTTAGCCTAGAATTAAGCTTTAACAATGCAGCCCAATCCCCTGTAATACTTCCTGATATGGAGCATGGAGTGTACAAGCCTGCTGCATTCTAGAAAGCAAAGATTTGTGCCTGAGCTGCTAACTGCCAGAACTAAGTACTATTACATGGAGCAAAACTAGCCCTATGCAAATACTAGCTTTCATAAAATCTGTATATGGGTACGATTACCAGTGAGCGGATAATGAAGCTCTGCTAAGGTATGGACAGCACATGAAAGTGTAATCATCTGGGGGTCTATACCCATGCCCTTTGAACAGTGATTCTGATGACTGAACTGTGTGTATACATCTTGTCCCTCGTGAAGGAAAGGAGTAGGGTGTATTTTCACAAACACACGCTCTTCTGCTCACCGTAGTTGCTAATTTTCACTGTATAGGTGGTGGAAATGGGAGGGACAATAGCAGATGGCTTCTGAACTTCCATAGACTCCCCTGTTTGTTGTTGCCGTTTGTTAGCGATCTCGGTCTCCAGTTTGCGTTGCTCCACAAATAGCACATCTCGTACTCGTTTCCTTGTCGCCTTTTCCAAGAGCTGTTTTACTTCCTCCAGGTCCTTCTGAAACTGAGTATAAAAAAAATTCATATCAATTCCAACAATATAGTACTAGCAAAAGTGTGTGCTCACTCCAGAGCAGGCAAGTTTAGGATAGTGACACCATAGCGTAATGTTCAGGGGTACTGAATCTAAGGGAGGAGGCGCTTCCTGCATGGGAGGAGGAGGTTCAGGTTTACTGGATCTAAAGGGGGAGGTGCTTCCTGCATACAAGGATGTGGTTCAGGGGTACTGGATCTAAAGGTGGGGTGCTTCTTATATGGGAGGAAGAGGTTCAGTGGTACTGGATCTGCTTCCTGCAGAGGATGTATTGGATCTAAAGGGAGGGGCTGGTATGATGGTGAAGGGGGAGGAAGCAACCATAAAAAAAAGAGGGGGGGCTGAGGGCATGTAAGTGCAGTGTTGAGAGCATTGGGTGAGAGATCAGCCTACAGGCGAGGTGGTGGTGTAGTAGGCACGGTGAAGGGGCAATTTGCATAGGAGCACTGCTGAAAGGAAGGGTAAAGGTGTAGTGGTTGGGGGGTGAAGGCGCAGTGGTTATCAGGGAGGGGGGGCAGCATCTTTCACTTTCCTTCATCTGTACTTCAGTCTCTCGGGATACAGACCTGCACTCATGCAGTAACAGTGCAATACAACTATACATCCAAAGAATGACAATGAGCATGGACGTCAGACTTCCACATGGTCCCTGTACACATATGCAGTCATATCTTACAATGAATGGCCATTACTCGTTATGTCCTCTTACCTCCAGCAGCGCAGACTCCATGGCGGAGGAATGACTATCTCACCGTGAACCGCACACTGCCAGCCGACTTGTTACCACACACTGCACTCTGGAACCTTCCGCCGTTGTCAGTGACGTCACGTCACCTCACACGCCCTCCTCGGTCCAGCCCCCTCATTGGGGTTTGTCGCAGGTGACGATTCCAGGAAGTGCCAGACTTGCAGTGCGGTGGCCATTTTCCCGGAGTCCGCTATTCGCATGGTAGCTGCTCCAGAAAAATGGCCGGAGAGGTAGAAAGTAAGATCCGTAGGTTCTCTAGTGTCCGGGATTGGGAACTGACAGTACCCATCGAACGAAAATGGGGACGCAAAAATGAAAGTGGTGTCAGGGTTTGTCTTGTACTGCTATGGGCTCTGGCCTTTGTCTAACATGAGGAAATGTTTGAGGGCTTGAAGTACTTCACAAGCAGATCGTCTAAGGAGTGACTCTTTAGTGCAAACTAGGTCAGGCATTTATAAAGCACCGACCATTGACGCAGCGCTTATAGGGTTGCCACCTTTTCTTCAAGCGAAACCCGAACACTCTGGCGACACGTGGATATTTTTTTCGGAGAATGAGTCGCGGCTTATTCATATGTAACTAGTGCCACCCGTTCATATGTAAATATCACTGTTTTCAGTGGTGGGACTGTAGTCCCTATCTTAATTTTGGTTGCCCGTCTGCCTGACATCTTGTGTCCAGGTTTCTGCTGCCATGAAACCCGCACACAGCATTCAAAACCCGAACTGTCCGGGTGAATCCTGGACAGGTGGCGACCCTGAGCGCTTAACATTCTGTACAGTCACATCAGTTATTGCCCTCAAGTAGGTTAAAGCCAAAGTACACTTTGCAGAAAATATAACAAATGCACAATGGTTCAAAAGAAAAAAAAAAATGTGCATTTATGTATTTGTATTGAAGCCAGTAAAGCATTGCAACCTCAATCAGATGCAATGCTCTGGCTCCTACAGATTCTTCCTCCCAGGCCAGGACTGGCCATTGGGCACTTGCCTGCTGAGCCTGTCATGGGTCACCCCGTTCCTCAGCTTCGTGCATGCAGTTGGTGAGGTTGTGGTGGACTGCCTACGGCAAGAAAGGCTGCCAACTCACCACACTCCTGTACCTGCATGTAGGTCCCACCACTCTGCACCCCCTGCGTGCTGGGTACCTGGCACTGTAGTCCTGCTGCTGTGCCTGCATGTGAATTCAACACATGTAGGCCAGGCAGTCAGCCCAGCAGGTCCCACACTGTCCCCTTGATGCACATGGGGAGCAAAAGCTGGCCTGTGTACTCTGATCAAATAGAGTTAATGCTGGTTTCCAATAAAGGTGTCTGAACACAGTGCATTGCAGTTTGTTTTGTATGGGGATATGCAACCGTAGGCCTGCCAGGGTGCCTATGCTCAACTGTGTACCTCCAATGGGCACACAAGCATCAGAACTGGAGCAATGGTAGGTGACCTGGTCTTATGAATAACGTTTTCATTTACACTATGTGGCTGGCCATGTGCATACGTCTCTTACCTGGGCAATGTTCTATGAAACCTTGGGTTCTGCCATTTAGACATGTTACTTTGCCATGTACCACCTGCCTAAACATTGTTGCTGACCAAGTACACCTTCATGAAAATGGTATTCCCTGATGGCAGCATTATAATGCACACTGCAAAAATAGTTCAAGAATGTTCCGAGGAACACACAACTCCAACTTCTCCAGACCTCAATCCAAATCGAGCATCTACGGGATGTGCTGGAAAACAAGTCCGATCCATGGAGGCCTCACCTCACAACTTACAAGAGTTAAAGGATCGGCTACTGATGGCTTGGTGCCAGATACCACAGCATACCTTCAGAGGTCTAGTGGATGTCAACAGTTCAGGGCTGTTTGGTGGCAAAAGGGAGACCTACTTGCAATAGTAGACCAAGTGTTCATAATATTATGGCAGCATTAGTGTACAAAGACACACGTTAGCACTTCTGCCTTGCAACACTAAGGGTCCCTGGTTTGAATCCCAGCCAGGTCACCATCTGCAAGGAGTTGCATGTTCTCCCTGTGCTTGCATGGGTTTCCTCCGGGTACTCCGGCTTCCTCCCACACTCCAAAGACATGCTGGTAAGTTAATTGGCTCCTGTCTAAATTGGCCCCGTGTATATAGTTACATATATTTATATATATATTTATACATGAGAGATAGGGGCCTTAGACTAAGCTCCTTGAGGGCGGGCACTGATGTGAATGTGCAACTAAGTAAAGCGCTGCGTACAAAATAGGCGCTATATAAATACCTGTAAAACTATATCACAAAAGTGCCCATTAGTTTCTGTACCAGTAGGAGCAGTCTATACATCAGAAGAAAAAATTACAACCACAAAATGTCCCATCAGTTTCTGTACCAGTGACAAGTCACCAGGAAAAAGTACAAATTAACATTATAGGATAAATCTATCCAGGGAGGCACCAAAGATATAAAACCCCATATACAATCATCTGCCATCCAAAAGTACTCAGAGATGTTATGATGAGGTTGCATTATTTGAAGCTGGCGCATATAGTGTGAATATACTTAAAAATATGGTGATAACTTCCAGCATTTGGGGAAGAGATGCCTCTGTCCCTCAGAGCTTGAGCTTCAACAGCTAGGCTGTTAAAGCCAGCTACCGTGAAGCAGGATGGTAAATCTGATTAGACAGAAGATTGAGTGCTTGTTCACACAACGTCCGGATTCTGTCCGGACCAGATCCGTGCGCTCCTGCACTAAAAATGCATCCCAATGCATCCATGTGTTTTATGGGCTACAGTTCTCATGTGCGCAGTCCGTTCAGGTCAGAAAAAAATACTGCATGTCACATTTTGTCTGGTGAGGCTACAGTCCGGAAACGCAAACCGTGTCGAAAATGCACTGCAGCTAACAGTAACAGCCCCCACTCCAGCAAAAAAAAAAAAACATTTTTTTTAACTGGAACGCGTCAAAAACGCATAGCACCGCTCCAGAACGTGTGAACAAGCCCATGGAGTGTCTGCCAGGAGTCTTAACAGATCAGAGTACCATATTCACATGGGTCATTTAAGAGCTATGATGATCACTGGAATGCCCTATATCATGATCCTGTGAAGACCAGGAAGACTTTAGGGGAGGAAAGGCATAGATCAGGGTGTACTGATCTCATTGAGTAACCAGAGAATCCAACGATTGATGTATGACACGCATTGTCTGACTGAACGCCAATTGATTGACCCTCCAGCCCAACATTGCAACCAAGTGCCAGAAGCAGTACGTGTTTCAGCATTGATTTCGGAAAGGATCTGCAAGGGCTGTGTTGCCTGTTCTCTAGGTAGGAAGTAATCAAGCTATCACAATGGAAATGCTCTGAGTGCAGTAGGGCTAGTGAAAGGGCCAGCAGCTTTCTGAACACTGGAGGTGCAGAAGAAAGGCCACATAGCAGGGCCAAAAACTGGAAGTGCAGGGGACTCACTAGAAAACATAAGAATGGACAAGTCTGTCCGCCAGCCAGCACTGGCAGAGTGGGGAATCCAGCCACTCCGTCACAGCAGAGAGCCGTGACAGGATCGAGAAGTGAGCGAACGCCGGTATGTGTTCCCTCACTTCCCGATCTACTCAGCCGACCTGTGACCATCTCATTGTCACAGGTCGGCTAGAACTATGAGGTGAGTGAAAAGCACTCACCTCATAGTTCCCCTTTAACATTAATCAGCCATGTTATATTCTGGTAGTCAGTGTAGCAGCATGCACCCAAGGTCATCAAAACAATATAAGGTACCCAACCTTCTTGAAAGCGTGCAAGGTGCCAATTGAACAGATCAACATTCACAGGGCTGCATAGGAAAGCCCTCATGAAAATTGAACTTTGGTTGCCCCACAGCATTATATGGAAGGAGACTGGATTATTCTCTGCGGCATCACACAACTTGCTCTTGCCAGGAAAACATGACAAGTCTGCAAAGGCAGCATGCAAATTTCTCTCCAGAATGGCAGTTTCTATACATTTTTATCCTGACAAAACCTACCCCCCCGCCCCCTTCACATACACCTCCAAACACTATCAATTGGTTTATCTGTGCCAGCAACTGAGCATTGTTTTTACAAAAGGAGGAGTAAATGGCAATGTTATATTTTAACCCTAACAATCAATGATAGCATTACTCATGTGTACAACAAACCATAAAACAGGACAAAGCCTTTTTACAATGTAGTTTTCAAATTTTATTTTGTATCATCATGTAGTGTAACAGTCACGATGTCATACAAAAGATGGGAATCCAAAACACTTCACAACATTAACCACTGTATAGAACCAGAAGGGATCAGCAGCAATGTTAAGAGATCTTGTGCCTTTCAACATTCCTTCACCATGAAATCTAAAAATCAAAGAGATGATATTAGTATGAATGAACATGAAGAGCTCAAGAATGCTAAACGGGCACAGGGAAGTCAGTACTTCTACTTTCATCTTTAGTCAGTGAGAGAGTTCAAAGTATTTGTCATCATGCTTTCCCCATAAGACAACACAGTTTATATAGTACACTTACAATAGATTGCAGCAGACTGCAACACCCAGCTTTGTGGAGCTTGATACCTGTGAAAGACACAAGTGTTAATGCCTTTGTGAAGTTATCTGCCAACATTGGAAACTTTAGTGTCTGTATAGTACAGATTGTTCATCTTTTAGCCAAATTTTTATTTATTTTTTGTCTTGAACTCCAACACCATATTCACCTTTCCTTGCTCCTATAACCAGGGAACCAACTTACTTAGTGCTGTCATGGGGAGAAAGGAGTCACAATCTCACCCACAGCGGGAGTGCCAGGTCTTCCACCTAGCTCCTAAAATGGAGGGAGCAAAGGAGAGGAGACTATGTTGTAGGGGGAAAGGGGGGTTGTCTGCATCCGCAGAGATATTAAGTGACTCCCCTTAGTTTGTTGCCTGCATGGCAAAAAGAAAGGGTCACCAAGCTATAGTGTGCTGGTATAACACAAGGGGCAGTTTACCAAAA